ATGATCAGCATGATTATGGTGATGCTGTTGTTCTTGATGATGATGGTGTTGTCTGTTGTTGCAGATGATGTTGCTGCTGTTGCTTATGATGGTGATGCTGCTGATGGTGTTGATGATGATGCTGATGATGCTGATGATGAGGATGAGGATGAGGATGAGGATGAGGATGAGGATGAGGATGGTGTTGATGATGATGCTGATGATGCTGATGATGCTGATGATGATGCTGATGATGGTGATGATGCTGATGCTGATGAGGATGATGATGATGATGATGATGCTGATGCTGATGCTGATGATGATGATGATGATGATGATGATGATGATGATGATGATGATGATGGTATGAAGATGCTATTGAGGAGGAGGAGGAGGGGGAGGAGGAGGAGGTGGAGGAGGAGGGGGAGGGAGGCGGAGGAGGTGGAGAGGACGGGAGGGGGACGAGGAGTGGAGGAGGAGGAGGAGGAGGAGGATCAGCAGCAGCGGCGCCCCCTGTGGCCGATCAGGGACGGCTCCCACGTCCTGCACCTCGAGGAGTTCCTGGCGGGCGCGCAGCAGCTCGGCCTCGGTCCGGCGGAGGCCCGAGTCTGGGAGGGCGCCCGCCCCCTTTTTGCTACCCGCATCAACACCCTCCTCACCCTCCTCCCTCGTCCACCCTTCCTCCTCCTTTCTCCTCCTACTCGTCACCCTCATCCTCTCCTCCTCATCCTCCTCCTCCTCCTCCTCCTCCTACTCATTCCTCCACCCCCCCTCCTCCTCTCATCCTCCTTCCTCCTCCTTCTCACTCATCCTCCTCGTCCCCTCCGCCTTCTCCTCGTCCCCCCTCATCCTCTCTCCACCTCCTCCTTCTCCTCCCTACCTCCTCCTCCTCCTCCTCATTCCTCCTTTCTCCTCCTCCTCCCCTCCTCCTCTCCTCCTTCCTCCTACTCCCCTCCTCGTCCCCTACGTCTCCCCTCGTTACCTCCCCATCCCCCTCCCCCTCCGCCTTCTCCTCGGTCCCCCTCCTCCTCATCCCCCTCCTCCTTCTCCCATACCTCCTCCTCCTCCGTGTCCTCCTTATCCATTCTACCGCTACCTCTCTCCTGCCCTCCCCTCTTGAGCCTCCTTTGGCCCCCCGAACCTCCACCCATCATCAGCACGCTGACGAGCTCGGGGCTGGGTCCCTCAGCAGCCTACCCGCCTGTGCCGAGCGGTCTGTCGCTCCAGGCCACCATCCGACGCGTCGTCCCCGCGCCTCACCTCTGCAACAAATACAGAACGGCCACGGCCAGCCAGCCAAATGCCAAACGCGTTGCTGGCTGCTGCCCGCGCTCTCGTCGCGCGCTAGCCAAATTTACCACCTAACGCACGGCGGCTGAACCCCAGGAGACACGCTCGCCTCAGGCTACCCGCGCTCCTCCTTGTCCTCCTTGTCCTCCTCCTCGTCCTCCTTCCCCTCATCCTTCTCCTCCCACTCATCCTGCGTCCTCCTCCTCCTCCTCTTCCTCCTGTTCCCCAATCAGTGTTTGCACTCAGGGGTTCTTGCCTCTCGCGCTAAGGCATTGGCCGGGCCCAGCGAAGTTTCTACCCGTTGCCGCCCGCGGCCGCCTCGTGACAGCCTCGTGCGCTGGGTGGGCCTAGCCTTAAGTGAGGCTTCGCCACGCTGCCGCCCGTGCCCGCCTCGTGGCCGCCTCGTGCGCTGGGTGGGTCCCGCGAGGCCTTCGCCCCATCCCAGATTGCACGACGCAGCCTGCACGTAGTGTGCACTGCATCCACCTCCACACCTCACACAACATACAGTGAGCGGCTTGAATAAGGAGCACTTGCTTTTCAAGAGGGGCTCGGTCGTTCCTTAGGTTTGCATGCGTTATGTGTCGTTTCTTATGCGCTATTCATTATTTATCGTTCCTTGTGCGTTATTCCTTGGGCAAAAAAAGGGGCTTCGTTCCTTATTTATCGTTCCTTAGGTCAGGCCGATGACTGTAGCTCACACCGCATAGCTTTCACCTCCACGGTGCAATCACGCACTATGTTGTGCCCGCGCGGGCTACATTTGAGTCGCTGCCGCGGCAGTCACATGTGCCGAGGTTGTCCCGGTTCGCTCGAGCGCGTGCCGTTCGCAGCGCGAGCATAGAAACAAGACATATCCTCCTGCTCCCTGCTCGTGCTCCCTCGTCCTTGTCCTGCCGAAGATGTACCACCTGCCAATTTGAACGTATACTTCCGGAGGTCCGCGCGGATCTCTCGGATCGGCGCTGGTCCCTGGCTGCGCCTCCAGCGAGCCACTGGCGTTTTTTTCTTTTTTGTTTTGTTGTTTCTGGATTTGACTGGTGGTGCTTCTGGCGACGCCTCTGGCGCGCTCCGCGCGCCAGGGAGGAAGGTGCAGCGCCGTTCCAAGACGTGGACTTCCGAAAGCCCATGTTCATGCGGTCGTCTAACATCATTGTTCTACCCTGCTCCTCACAGCCTCCTGCCCCGCCTGTCCCCCTCCTTCGTTTCGACGTTGCGCAGACATGGATCGGAGACCGTTGCGATATTCGTGACGTGCAAAAAATTAATCGTCGACTTAGGCGAAGAAGCAAACACATTAAGCAGGTGGCAGGCTTTGCGGGCAAAGACAGGCAAAAATAAAGGCAACATAATGAGGCCAGAAACGGCGCAGAGTAAGCGCCCGCCACCTGCACCGGAGGAGGCACCTGAGGATTACACGATGACGATGAGATAGTTTATGACCGAGAACTACGGAGGATACCGCATAGTCCCCTCCTTCTCTTTCTCCTTCTCCTCCCTCCCGCTGTCGTCATCTCTGTCGTCCGCCTCCCGCATTCTGGACCCTGTGGCCCTCCCCGTGCGGTGCCCAGGAGGAGCCAGAGCGCTCCCCCCCCAAGCGCTAGCACGACCACGGCCACCTGGGCTGCACGCCTAGGTCCGACCAGCTCTCTTCTTGGCCTAGGCTTCGAAAAAGAAAGCAACGCCATACACATAAATGTTTGGCGCTCCACGCGGATTTCCTGGATCCGCGCTGAGCCCCCCCGGCGGCGCCTCCGCCGCCGCCCCTTGCGCGCTCCGCGCGCCAGGGAGGGGGATCCGGGCCAGATCCAAGAAACCCGTTCGGACCTCCAACAGTTTATGTTTATGCAGTCGTGTCTTCCTCTAGCCCAGGCTGTCAGCTTGAAGGCCAGGCGCGCTCTCTGATCTCGCGAGTTCTGGTCTGGTCTTGTCTGGTCCTCGTCCGCGTCCTCCTCCTCCTCCTTCCCCTCCTCCTGGTCCTCCTTCTCCTGGTCCTCTAGTCTTCCGCTGCCGTCTCTCCTCCCCCCCCCAAGCCTCACGGGTCGGATAGCCACCGTGGTGCCCACCACCGGGCAAAGACAGGCAAAAATAAAGGCAACATAATGAGGCCAGAAACGGCGCAGAGTAAGCGCCCGCCACCTGCACCGGAGGAGGCACCTGAGGATTACACGATGACGATGAGATAGGTTATGACCGAGAACTACGGAGGATACCGCATAGTCCCCTCCTTCTCTTTCTCTTTCTCCTCCCTCCGGTTGTCGTCATCTCTCTGTCGTCCGCCTCCCGCATTCTGGACCCTGTGGCCCTCCCCGTGCGGTGCCCAGGAGGAGCCAGAGCGCTCCCCCCCCCAAGCGCCGGCACGACCACGGCCACCTGGGCTGCAGGCCGAGGTCCGACCAGCTCTCTTCTTGGCCTAGGCTTCGAAAAAGAAAACACCGCCATACACATAAACTTTTGGCGCTCCGCGCGGATTTCCTGGATCCGCGCTGGGCCCCCCCGGCGGCGCCTCCGCCGCCGCCCCTTGCGCGCTCCGCGCGCCAGGGAGGGGGAATCCGGGCCAGATCCAAGGAATCCGTGCGGACCTCCAACAGTTTATGTTTATGCAGTCGTGTCTTCCTCTAGCCCAGGCTGTCAGCTTGAAGGCCAGGCGCGCTCTCTGATCTCGCGAGTTCTGGTCTGGTCTTGTCTGGTCCTCGTCCGCGTCCTCCTCCTCCTCCTTCCCCTCCTCCTGGTCCTCCTTCTCCTGGTCCTCTAGTCTTCCGCTGCCGTCTCTCCTCCCCCCCCAGCCCCACGGGTCGGATAGCCACCGTGGTGCCCACCACGACGGGGTCGAGCGCCACGCTGCCGTCTTCTTGATGGAGTGCGGATTGGTGGTGTATCATGGGGTGCCTCCTCCTCCTGCTCCTCCTCCCCCTCCTCCTCCTTATCCGCATCGTGCCCCTCCACGCGCCACCGTGGTCCAACGCGTGCCTGGATTCTCAGCGCCATGGCTTTCCGCATCCGCACCTCCCGCCCGCCACGACGCGGCGCTGCCCCCGTTGCTCCCACGCGCTGCTCACTTGTGGCCCCTCCCGGACTTGGCTGCCCACCGCTTTCGGACACGATCGCCTGCACCAGATTCCTGGGCGAGAGCCGCCACCTACAGTATTGGTTCGCCTGGCTTCTGATAACAGGGTGTGTGTGTGCATGTGTGGTCACGGTTCTTACCAGATGGCGTGAGGCGGGCGGCGGTTGTATAGCTTACCCCGCGTTCATTTCCTTCTCTCGCGGCTGGTGCCACTTCTCTTCCTTCTCCTCCCCCTTCTCCCTTCTCATCCCTCCTCTTCCTCATCCTTCTCCTTCTCCTCCTCCGTCTCACTTTCCTCCTCCTCCTCCACCTTCTCCTCCTCCTCCTCTCCCTCCTCCTCCTCATCTTCCCTCTTCTTTATGTTCCTTCTTCTCATCCCCCACCTTCTCCTCCTCCTCTCATTATCCTCCCTTCCCTCTGTCCTCCTACTCCGGCTCCTCCTCCGCCCCCTCCTCTTACCCAGTTTGCCCTGCTCCTCGCCTTCTCCCTCTTCCCTCCTCCTTTCTCCTCCTTCTCCTCCTTCCTCCTCATCCCTCCTCCTCCTTCCTCCGTCCTCCTCCTTCCTTTCTTCCTTTCTCCTCGTCCTCCTCCTCCTTCTCCTCCTCCTCTTATTCCTCTTCCTCTTCCTCTTCTTCCTCTTCATGTCTCTTCTATCCTCGAAGAGGCGCGAGCGGCCTTCGAGGAGGGCGATGTGGACGGCTCAGGAGACGTCGGCCTCTCCGAGTTCGTGGCGATGACGTTCGACTGGAAGGTGTATGCCCGCCGACGCATCATCGTCATCGCCATCAGCATCACCATCCTCATCCTCCTCATCATCATCATCATCATCATCATCATCATCATCATCATCATCATCATCATCGTCATCGTCATCGTCATCGTCATCATAATCATCATCATCATCATCATCATCATCATCATCATCATCATCATCATCATCATCATCATCATCATCATCACATTCAGCATCATCGGCATGATCATCATCTTATCATCATCATCATCATCATCATCGTCATCGTCGTCGTCATTCCCATCACCGGCATGAGCATCGTCATCATCATCATCATACAGCGACTTGTCGGCATTTGTGGCAACTCCGCGGCCGTATTCCCTCGCTCAAGTTCTAAAGGAATGCAAGCATTCTTTGAGCGGGTCTGCGCCGACCTCACCAGTGCCCTCACCACTGCCATCATAGTTCGCGGCAGCTCGACGCCCTGCCCAGATTGCGTCTGCTCTCCAGCGCTGCACTGCCCTGCGTTGGAGTGCCGCTGCCCGACAGGCGAGGGCTCCCTGGCATCTGTGCAGCCCACAGGCTGGTCAACTGAGTTCGTGGTCGTGCTCGTGGTGAGCTCCTTCGCATACGGCATCGTCGTAGGCGGCTTCTTCATCAAGAGCTCTCGGACGGCCCCCGTGGTTCAGTCCGCACCCGCTCCACCACCTCTGCACGAGACGGTGGACACCCTCGACCTTGCGACGGCGGCTGCTGCCCAGGCGAGGAAGTCCCGCCGCTAGGAGCAATGGCTGCTCGCACCTCTGGCCAGTTCCACTACGTACGGTACAACGTCGGGGGGCCCGCCATCTACCACGAGAGGCTCACGTTGCTGCCAGGGTACATCCTCACCCCCGACGATGACGACTACGCGGAGAGCGACCTGGCTGGTGGCGACTTGAGATCAGTGCATGACTCGGCGGGCCAGGGCGACGCGATCGTCGGAGTCGCCGCCCATAGGCTCTACAAGTTCAGACGGCTGCCGTCCGCAGCCGTCGTCTGGGCTGCTGTGCGCCGCGGCGTCGCTCAAGGCCACGGACCCCTGCCGCCGTCGCCCTTCAACCTCGAGCTCAGCGCCGACAACGTGCTGGGCGTGGCGGCGGGGGTGCTGGCCTTGCCCGACCCGCTCGGAGCGGCGCCCGCTGCCGCAGCGCCTGGCGCGCTGGCCTTGGCGGGCGCGGCCGCGCCCCCCGCGGGCGCCCCTGGGCCGCCCGCCGCGGTGGCCGCGGCGCCCGAGGGCGGGGTGGGCGCGCTGGCGGCGGCGCTCGGTGCGGGGGGAGCCGCCCTGCCTGCTGCCGCGGACCCATTGGGCGTCGGCGGCGCCGCCGCGGCCCCCGCCGCCCCAGGCGTCGCGGGACCTGATACCCGCGTGATGGCCACCGTGCTCGACGCTCGTGGGCTGCGGGACATGCCCTTCAGTGACGCCGTGAAGCGCCAGACCGAGACCGCCCGCGCCGACTGGCCCGTGAGGGGCCCTAGGACCACGATGCGGGTGCTCCACTTCATGCTGCGCATGGCTGGCGGGGCGATGGCGTGGCACAACCGCTGGATGGCCATGATGCAGGCCCTGGAGACGGACGACACCGCCAAGCTCCACGAGACGCTGTGCCGCGTCATCGAGACCTCGCTCTGCCACGACCAGCTGATCATCTGCGAGCTGGCCTCCTACGAGTTCCTGTCGCGGCAGCTGCAGTTGGTGGAGGAGCGCTTCTTCGAGGAGCGCGCGCGCAGGACTCAGCCTGCGCCCAAGGCCAAGGGCCAGGCCAAGGACGGCGCCTCGTCCGCGGCCGCCGAGGCCTCCTCGGAGATTGGCCACTTCCTCGGCACGGGAGAGACGATGGGCAACTTGTGCATTTGCCCAGCCTTGATGGACTGGATCGCCGACCAGATGAAGAGCGAGGCCGCCGTTGCAAAAGAACGTCGCAAGGCTCGCGAGGAGCGGGCCTTGCGGCATCCATGACGTTCCTGAAGGACGCTGGCCAGGAGGGGCCTTGCGACGTGTTACCGGTTCGTGAGCCTGGCCAGCTTTGCCCCGAGCCTTTCGAGGCTCCACCTGGCCTGGAGTCGCCCAGACGAGGTGGCCGTCGCCAGCGTGACGTTTTTCCGCTCCCTCTTCTTCCAGTGGATGGGCGTCGCCATCTTCCGCTTGGTCGGGGTGCTCGTCTACGGGCCGCCAAAGGCGCGAGCTGGAGAGAGTGGTGCAACGAGGGGTTGACTGCTCTCAACTGGCTCCACTGCGGCAAGGACGAGCCCTCCATGCCTGACGACGGGGGGCCACCGCCTGCGGCCCAGGCAGCCTCAGTGGACTACATCGCGGGCTTGCACCGCGACTTCGAGCTGCCCGCCGCCTACTCGGAGAGAGGCCGCGATTGCGAAGCATCCCTCGTAGAGATGCTCGCGCAGGCACCTGGCTACGCTGGCGACAGCGGTCGCGTGCGCCCCTTCAGCGCGCCACTTGTGGCCTGGCCCGAGTCGACGAAGGCAGTCTCCACCTGCGGCGTCGTCTCCGAGGCCGACTCCATCGTGCTGCAGGATTGGAGGCAGAGTATGCTGAACCCCGAGTCGGTGGCGGCGGGGCTCCGTGAATCGTTGGGGGTTAATCGCCCCTATGTGGATCCCGAGCTGCGCTTCAAGCCGAAGTCCTACGCTGAGTTTTTGAAGCAGCTGGAGGCCCACGACATGATCACCTGGCGGGTCTCCAGCGAGCAGGCGCCCTTCTCTACTGGTCTTTTCTTTGTGCTGAAAACTAACGGCAAGCTGAGGCTGGTTTTCGACGCCAGGCTGGCCAACTGCAGCTTCTCGTGCCCACCAGCCACTCGCCTGCCCACGCCCAGCGCGCGGGCCAGCCTTGACTGCGACGACAGTTTTCAGTTCGCGCAGGGCGACATCCAGTGTGCTTTCTATAATTTGCGATTGCCCGCTGGCATGGAGTCTCTCTTCTCTTTGCCACCGATAAACAACAGATTCCTCGGCCTCAAGTCGGTCAACGGGGTTCGTCTTGGCATCAACGACTATCTCCAGCCTCTTGTCACGGTCGTTCCCGTGGGGTGGAGTTGGGCTCTACACCTGTGCCAGAGTGCGCTGACGAGAGCCCTGTCGGATGTCGGGTTTGGCAGTGACGACATGATTCTGGATGGGGGATGTCCTCGTCCCTTGGTGGCTGAGAAGGACGCGGTGTGTGCTGGTTATGTTGACAACTTCTGTGTCGTATCCAAGTGCGCGGAGACAGCCACGTCCCTTGCTCGTGCCGTTGCTGACCTTCTCACTGCCCGCGGGTTGCCTGTCTTGGAGTTCTCCCCTGCGGTCTGTCAGGGGGTCTTCACGGGCTTGGAGATCGACGGAACCTCTGGGATCATTCGCGTTCGTCCTGACCGCCTCGCTCGCACTCGTCAAGCCGTTCTCGGACTGTTGAGGCGTGGGCGGGCCTCTGCTGGTGCCCTCAGCGTGCTCGTGGGCCACTGTGCCTGGGGGATGATCCTGAGGCGCGACGTTCTGAGCATCTTTAACGCGGTCTATCGGTTCATGGGGGCTGTGGGACCCCATCCTGGACCCTTGTGGCCCTCGGTCGTCAGGGAGTTGTCGGCTGCCGTGGCCCTCATCCCGCTCTGGAGCGCCTCTACGAGGTCTCGCTGGTATCCACGGGCGCATGCGTCTGATGCGTCGCCGTTCGGCAAGGGCGCCTGTGTCAAGGAGGTCTCCCCTACGCTGTCGTCCGAGGTCGGCCGAGTCGCCGAACGTTGGAGGTATCGTCATGGGGATGCTGTGCTTGCCAGATCACACGCCCTAGACGCCGACGGTCGAGACGATGCTGCCGACGGTTGCCGTGCCGACACATCGTCTACTGCTCCAACTGCTTCGTCGCCTGGGCTCAGTGGGTTCTACGAGATTCCTGAGTCCATCTACGGGGCCGAGGGTTGGAAGACCATTCGCTCTAGCCGTCGCACCCGACGGGGCTGCGATATCCTTCAGTACGAGGCGGAGGCCCTGGGGTTCAGCGTCCGTCACGCTTCGCGGGCCCTGGGTGCTCATCATCATCGCGTCGTCTGTATTGTGGACAATCTGGCTCTAGCCCTTTCGGTCGGCAAGGGGCGGTCTGGGAGCCGTCATCTTCTCCGCGCCCTGCGGCGCATCGCTGGCGTGGCTCTCGCCTGTGGCCTGCGCCTGCTCGTGCGGTGGGTGCCGTCAGAGAGGAACGTCGCGGACAAGCCGTCGAGGGAGGGCTTCTTCGTCGGCCCTAGCTTCGAGGACGTCGGGTCGTTCCTCGTCTCGCGCCGCCTGCGGATCCCCCAGGGGGGTGATCAAGGCGGCGCGGGGCCAGCGGGAGCAGCCTGGCCCGCTGACACTCCTGCGGGGCGGACTGTCGGTGCTGGAGGCCTACGCGGTCTCGGAGCCGACGGGCTGGTACTACCGCGCCTCCGCCCTCAGGTTTCTGAACTGGTGCCTCTGGACCGCCAGGGACTTCACGAACAGCGTCGCGCTCGTCGCGATCCCCGTGGTGTCCTTCGTCCACCTGTTCCTCGGCGGGTGCGACAGTGCGACGGGCCGCGTCACGATGGCCTCTCTGAAGCACCAGTTGCCGTCGATGCTGATGGGGAGCCGCCCGCTGCCGCGGGCCTTGCGGGCCCGCCAGGGCTGGGCGAAGCTTGTGCCGCCGCAGACGCTCCTCCCGCTGCCGAGGGTCGCGAGGTTCGCCATCGTGGGCGCGCGGGTGTCTCGGGGCCTTCTGTCGCAGGCGGCCCTCGTGAGGATTGCGTTCGGCGCGTACCTGCGCCCCAGCGAGGCCTACCGACTCACGGCGGCCTCCCTGATCGCTCCGAGGTCGGGCCCCACGGACGGCTACCAGCACTGGGCGTTGCTGGTGAACGACGCGGCGAGCGGGAAGCTTGGCAAGAGGGGGGTCACCGTCGAGCGCGTCATCGTCGACGATCCGCCTCTCTGGCCTCTCCTCGAGGCGTTGCGGCAAGGGCGCAAGGAGGAGG